TCTTCATTTAATATTACTATAATAATATATTCAATTATCTGTTTAATTTCATTACTCAATTTCTTTCTTACGTTATCATATATATAATTTAATTTATCTCTCTTCTATATTAAAAAAGAGATTTGTTACAAATATTCATATTAATGCAATCACTTTGATATTCAAATATCGGTTATCATAAACAGCAGGAGATTATCAAGTTATTTTTGTTCTCACGAGCAAAGAAGATTAATTACTTTTTTATAAGCTTCCATGCATAGCACACTGCTAATAAGTTGATGATTGGTAAGCAAAATGGCAATGATACACGTTCGCGTATAAAACGTCGAAATCCAAGGAAACATTCGCGAAGCAAAGAGTATCCGTATTAATCTCATGAGCGGCTCCCTTTGACGACAACAACCAGGACGATCTTGAAGAAATCGCGATAATCGCGCGCGCGCCGCCCCAAGAGATCTTTTTCCAAGTTACATCTGAAGAACAAGACTAGAACAACACATAGACGCAATCGCTTCTCTTATTTATATTTTTCTCTTATTAATTTCTTATCTCTTATTTATTTCTTTTTTTCATTTATTTCATTACCAAACTCGCATTACGCATTTCTTCTACGTGCGTATTTCTAATGTTAATTTTAAAACTAATGCGCGACGAAAAGTCAAAGTATAAAAAATTTTAGGTTTTTCTCTGTTAAGAGTGATTAAATTTGTTTTTACAAAATTATTAGATTCATTAATAAATTATTTAGATTCATTTGTATCATTAATATTATATAAGAAAATAATCTAAAAATATGAATTCTCTTTCTTATAGATCTTAATAAGAAATAATAAAAAAAGATTTTATATGGCGTATAATATACGTATAATAACAAAATATATAATATTTAATATTCCTTTATTTTTTTACTAAGTACTATAAATAAGTGAAAAAAATTATGATTATAGATTTTATTTTTCTAATTTATTGTGACGATAAATGTACAATTAACCCAAATAGTATTAAACAATTATTTCTTCTCACGTAAAGCATTCTATGAATAAAGATTAAGATGTCTGCGAAAGTTAAGTGAAAATGTTTTTTTTTGAAAAAGCACATAGCAAACTTATTAAATATCTCTCAATCCGGATAAGCAATTTGAAAAGTTTGAAAAGAAAGATGAAGATGAGAAAAGGGGAGAAGATCAAAGATCCTCCATACAACCTAGACAATCCTCTCGATAGGACTTAAAACGGTTCTTATAATGACAAAGGAAGATAATATGGATTTCTAAAGGAAGAAAATGAAACGGTTGGACGGCAGTCTGGTGAAATCAATGAGCTAATAGGCTTACTTAGAGTTATAGACAGTTAGTTAATTAAGTCGGTATTACTGGATCACTGAAGCCAAGCATCGCGCTCGCTCCCTCACGCCATACCGCCCATACTGCAACCGTCACCCTACACGAATGCGACGTAGTACTTAGTCGCAACTGGCATTGTAAGGGTGAACGCCGCGAGGCCTGCACGACCTGCTAGACGCGTTTTAATTAGAGGTGAATTCCATTGCACAGAACGACTTGAGAGAGCGGCATCCTTTACGTAAGTAAGTACAATTTTCGCACACTCTCCTCTTGTCTGGACCACGCCTACCGCGAATGCGAGGGCCATACGATATGAGAAAAGTCGCGCATACGCAAAAAATAATGAAGTCGATAAGTGGCGGACGTGACGGCAAAAAATAACATAAAGAGTGTAATCGGTACTTGACAAATAATCAAATGTGTTGCGATTAAACTTAGATGGATAATATGTGCAGATAATCGTTTATTCTTTCTATTCAAACAATAGAAAGAAAAATATATAATAATCGCTCTAACGAAGACTTAATAAAAAATAAAAATTTAACTTGAGTTTAAACTGCAATATATTTTTTGTCAGTTCTCTTATACATCCATTCATAGATTTTTTTAAGATTTTTTTAAAGATCGTCTCTGTTTATAATATAAAATCAAGTAAATATATTAAACATATTCCAATACATAATAATATATGTTGTAATTTCTGTTCTCTAACTTTTAAAATATAAAATAAGTAAGTATAAAGAAGGTATTTGAATAGTGACTAAAATAAGAAGTGTAACATTGTTCGCAAAATGTTTACATTCTATAGTTATAGATGTTTTTAAAATGTTATTGAAACAAGATTGCCATGTTTTATTACAAAAATGATATAATAAGATATACAGAATTTTTAATCTAAACTTCAAAAGACAATTTTTTAGATTATTTAAGACCCAAAAGCCAAACCAAGTATAAATTCTAAAATCGATAGTTTCCGAGATACAAGATAAGTTTCACAAAAATCACATTTCATAAATATCTTAGATTATATCCGATCTATATATAGATAGATTATTTAAGTTTTATGGATTTATATCAAGTATAACTTGAAATTTTTAAGAAAATGTGATTTTTTTTGTGAAACTTCAACGTTGTATATCTCAGAAATATAAGTTTTAGGAGACCTATGTTTATCTTAGATCTCAAATGTATATAAACTTGAAATATCTTGTATTAAAAGAAGAAGATTTATAGTAGTAAAAGTACTTATTTCTCGTTTATAATATTTATACAATAGAATATCTCATGTTGTGTTTCAAAGCGAAGCAAAAAATTGTATGTCTTTCGTATCAACATTTCTAATATCGACATTGTTAAAACAAAAGAATGAAATAAAGGCAACTAAAGAAAGATCAAAGTGGAACCTCTTCCTGCTCGCACGAACCCAAAAAATACACCGACGTTAAATGTTACATGAGCTTCAACAAAGAAAAGAGAGCAAGTTCTCAGTATCAATTAGCTCGTTGATGGAAATAACGTTGCTACGATTGTTCGAGATAAGAACGCGAGAGGTACAACACTTCAAGCTCAGAATATACGAACAAGTTGACACTTTATCTGCCGAAAG